TTGTCTCCCTATTTTGGCTGCCTCCCTGTGTTTGTTTCTATGTATTAGGTAGGGCTGTTATGTCTCCCAATCTTAGTAGAATGGCCTTACGTAGTAGGTGTGCTGTGGGGTTCAGTGGTGCAGTCTTCCTAGACACTAAGCTGTGCACTTCAGGTGTGTCCTTTGTGTGGGTTGTGTGTGCCCTCCTCTTGTAGTTGAGCCTTGGTTGCTCTTTGCATGTCAAGGAGAGGGCCTGACCCTCTCACTCATTTGTTGTGAGGGCTGGCCATGACTACACTGGAGGAGCCATGGTAGAGGGGCTGACCCTAGAGCAGGATCTTCCTCATCAGTGCTCTGATGTCTGCCAAATCCATCCCGTGGGCGTGTTGTCTTTGGAGGTGGCTGGGTGATCCTCTAGTTTGTTTCAAAGCTGATCTTTGGGCATTCCAGCCCCAGAGCCACCTAGGAGGGAACCCACTGTAGGTCAAGTTTAGCTACAGCCTGTGCCCCACCAGGGGCCACCCACAGGAGCCACAAAACCATCCACAGATGCTCGCTGCCTGTGCTGTGCTTGGAAGTGCCTTGAGAGGCCAAGGCATGAACCATGGCTAGACGCCACTAGTGCCAGTGTTAGGGCTGCCCAGCTAAATGTATGGGACATGCTCAAGCCAGATGCTGCCTCTCTGGGTTCCACAAATCTTTGAGAGGCCCTACGTAAGTCTGCAGTTGTTTGTATGAAAAAGCCACTGGAAGTAGCTCAGGTGTGCCTGAAAGTTGGGTGAGGTGGGATATCAGAATCGCCAGGATGTGGCGAACAAGTGGCATCAGCCAGCTTGATGCAGATTCTGATATGGCAGTTGCCTGTGTTTGCATGTCAGGAAGGGGGAGAGCTTAACAAAGAAACAATGGCTTCTGCCAGCTCCTCTATCTGGGAGAAGCTGCCCCTCCAGACCTCATCCTGAAGCCAGACAACTCAGTTCCCCCACACAGCCCTGTCACCTCTCCAGCTGCTGCCCTAGCTCTGGAGCTCAAAGCCAATGATTCCATAAATGAGTAAGTCAGTGCAGGCCCTATAAGGGGAGTGCCTGGGACTGCATCCTCCCTCTGTCTCACTCAGCCTCAACCTCTGCTAGTTTTCACAACCAGAAATTATGGGGACTTCTCTCCCTGGCACTGGAACCCTGGGTTGGGAAGCCTGGTGTGGTGTTTGCTCCTTTTGAGGGGTGGGGACTTCCACAGCCGAGATATCCCTCCCGATTTTTAATGGTCACACATTGGTATGAGACCAGCCCATTCCACATCTTCATCCCTCTTGCCAGTCTTGAGGTGGCTTCTTCTGTATGTCCTTAGTTGTAAGGCTTTGGTTTAGCAAGATTTCAGGCAATTCTCAATGATGGTTGTTTTGTAGTTTAGTTGTAATTTTTATGTGGTCGTGAGAAAAGGTAAGCACAGTGATTACCTACTCTGCCATTTTTACCAGAGCTCTCTGAGTATTTCCTTTTTCTTAGCCCTTAATTCCTGTTCTTAATAAGTCCTTCTATAACATGAAGCACTCACTTGTGCAAAATTTTCTACTCTATGGATTATGCCTTCTTCCAAACTGGATTCTCCATGTCCCTTTTTGGCCTGTTGTGCAGACATTGTGGTTGCCCACACATTTGGAATAATTCTCCATAGTGAGAGGATAGCAAGCAAGGAGAAAAGCACTGCCCTGCATTGTCTTCCACTTCCTGCCTCTGAATTTCCTGTGAGGACATGATGCGTTGAGCTTCTGCATTCATTCTGCAATCATGAGGGAAAGGTTGAGAGAATTTCAGAGATGTTGACCCAGGGCCCTGATGTCAATGAGCCCTAAACCAGTCAAGTAGCTACCTATCTCCAGACTTGCTATGTGAGGGGGGAAGAAATCCCTGTTTGTTTAAGGCATCCCTACCCAATGTCCTGATAGTTGCAGCTGGACATAGTGTAATAGACAGAACATGTAATAGCTTTTTGTTGTTGTTGTTGTTCAAGATTATTTACATAGTTGTTTTGCCACTGTCCATTTTGCTCATGCTTAAAGTGAATGATTCTAGCCAGACATTCTACTTCCTCTGACCTAATGTAGTTAAATTGCCATTGACCTCTTCCCCACTTTTATTTCAATCCTGGGCAGCCTCCATTTTGAATTACAACTTAAAAACTGAGGATTACAGTCAATCTACATTTCTGGAACAAGTCCCTTTGGGAATGGTATTGGGCAATGACTTTCTCTCATTCATTATAAGGACTTGTAAAACTCACCCCCACTTCCTCTTCTCTCACTCCTGCCCACAATAGTCCAGAGCAGGGACACAAATATTAAAAGTTAGCATTGGTTTTCAGAGATAGACTCTGGAGAGGGGACCAATGAAAAGATATAGTAGAAAAACAGGCCTTGAAATTTGATGTAAAATGTTAATTCCTATGAATGGGAAAGAAGCTGCCCTCAACCAAGGGCAAAAAGCACCAATCAGCTCAAAGAAAGCCTGCAGGTATAGACTTTTAGTAAGCCCTAAGCACTCTGAAATGCCTTTGTTTGAACGTGTCTTCTTGTTACAGTAATGAGAAAGGTGTTGCCTTAATGACTCATTTAATGCAAAATTTAATGGTTAAATTAAATTTTGAATAAACGCTATGACAAATCAGATATTAGAAATCCATTTCTTAAAAGCTTACAATAGTGACTTGTCAGTGTACTATGTGAGCTTAAGTAAGATCATTTCAGATTATGTGTATAGTGCTAAACTATTTCAATCTAATTATGGTAAAATTGTGTTTGCATTAAGGTTTTTTCCTAATGCAAAAATGCTATTAAAATTATTTTCACTGACATTCTCCTAATAAACTGGTTTAGGAACTGCATTTACATTTGACCAGGGATTCGTCAATAGAAGTGATTCGTTCCCAGTGGGAACAAATACCACCTCCCAATCTTTTTTTTCCAGTTTTGCTACATGTTAATAGTAGGTTTTTTTGAGGGATAATTTTTAAGGTCTTGTCAGCAACTTCAGACAAAAGGTACTGAGTACTCCACAGGGTACAGACTGCTGCTAAGCACTTTAGAAAATTTATAGGACCTGGAGAAAATGTGTTTCTTTTGCCTTGAGAAGCTTACAACCTGAGGAGCTGACAACTCAGTCTAAGAGTTGAGTGAACAACAAAGTAATTTAACACAAATTCCTCATCCCCTGGGGCTACTGTGGATTGAATCATTTTGGAATTAATCTAATCAAGATGAGAGACAAGACTAAATTTGATCGAGAATTCTTTCAGGCTTATGTAGTTTTTTAACATCTATCTCAGTAAATAGAATTGACCTAATAGACAGCTGAAAATAAAGAATAGATATCTTAAAGTACAAGGGCTAAAATAACTTAATTGTGGTTACTTATTTGAATAAGAAAACATATTGAAAGGTTGACTAGGGTATTACACAAGTTTAAAAATAGGCCACGTACTGGCACTGCATTCCCCTCATGCTAGCATGGTCATTTAAAATACTGAATATTAAATATGTGGGCTCTACATCTAACCCACAGAAAGTCCACCCCAGATCTTAATGGTCTGTGAATCAAATACCTACTTTGTGTGTACTATGGAAGCTTTATTTATGCCCAATTAAGTAAAAACTAATGTAAACAGTCAAATTATAATAAGCTACTGGCCTGCATATTTCCATATGGGTGAATGTTAATATATCTAAAAGGAAATAAATGGCAATCCTATCTACCTATGTTTAAAAAAAATACAATATCTCCAGATTTTGCATACTCATCACTATAAAAAGTATGCAGGTTTTCAGGTTTCACAATCTATTGTCAGAAAAACAGCACTTATTCCTTCAGTATCTCATTAGCATCTGACTCAAAATTTATTTTATTTTATTTTATTTTTATTTATTTTTAATTTTATTGTTAGTTTCAGGTGTACAGAACAATGCAATAGTTATCCTTTTCACCCTCACAAGGTAACAACCTGCCTCCCCCCATCTACTGCCCTCCCACCCCCGATATCATGCTTATCTATTACAATTCCATTGACTCCATTCCCGCTCTCTACTCCATGTACCATGACTATATGTACATATAATTATAGTTGACATACATTATTATTCAACATCAGCTTTAGATATACAGTGTGGTGGTCAGGCCTCTACACCAACTATGAAGTGGTCTCCCTAATAAAAATTATTTTTAGATTACATGATTTAGAAGACATTATAAACTCATCTAAAAATTTGTAATTATTCTGAGATGGCTTCATGTTATCCCTAGAATCACTATTGGAAAGAATAACAATGTGATGTAGAAGAACAGCAAATCAGCATGACTGAAAATATGCTCACTTTCATAAAAACAATCTGGTCACCTGGAAAAATCACAGCTACAACCTGGGAACACTCCCATATGAATACTGATTTGCCCAAGGCATAATCTAAGCAGGAAAACTATGAGATCAGGGTGAATTTAGGCCATCTCTGAGGAGCAGCCTACAAATTTCCAGACAGACCTTCTTGGACAGTGTAATCGATCCAACCCATCTCAAAGCAGTTTTATACTATCCTACTCACATCGGCCCAAAGTTTGACATTAACTCAAAAAAAAAAAGAGCATAGTGGAGCAGAAATGAACAGATGTGTAAACTCTGGCACATTCTTATTACTGTATTAAGCTTGCAGATGAGCACATCCTACCCACAATAGTGTTGTTCCAGGAAGCAGAGCAGGCATAGTGGTAAATTAGAAAAGAGACTATTAATTGCACAACAATAGAAAAGTAAAAACATGTCTCAAAACCTACAATAAGCCTGTATCCAAAAGTCTTACATTTCAGTGATGTGCTGGACTTTGAATTCCATGCTACAGCTTTGCAATGGACTCACTCTGACCTACTGGCATGAGTATGACTGACTTCCTGCCTGTTGAAGTGTGAATATGCTACACAGAGTTAAGTTGGTTTCTAGTTAGTGGTAAAATTCACAGAAGTACCAGTTTATTCATGTCAGTGTTGTTCTTTCTGTAAAGTTTGATTCAGATGAAGATAAAGTGGTTTCTTGGTCAATATTTGCAATTTCTTCCTTTTAAAGTCAGTGGGTTTCTTGTATAGTTCTGTTTCTATTAGCCCGGGTTTAATTTTATCCACCTCCATGAAAGTAAAACACTTGGTACTGGTAAACCTTTTATTAGGCTTGTAGTATTAGAATTCAAATAAGATAGTGTCACCCTTGATTAATTTATCAACATACTTCTGGAGCTTAATATCCACATTAAAATGAACATATGTATCTTCTTTTCTTGAAGCCATAGGAGTATCTTGCACAGGAGTTAAATCTATGCCATTCAGATCCTTTACACTAACTGTAATATAGGGATCAATTCATTGCCCAGCATCTGTCAAGCTGTTTTCCTCAATTCTGATAGTGAGTAATGTTCCTTGTTCTGATGGCAACTTTGGTTATAAAGTACCGAGAACTTGAGCAGGAAAGGAATCAGGAGACCCTGCTCCAGCACCAACCTCTTCTTCATCTTCTTCAAATTCTAAATTCTCTGCTTCACCAGGTGCTAAAATCCTTCTTAAGTGGACAGACCGAACAGCAAATGGAAATTCTTTATAATATGTAAGAATATTCTTTAGGATAGGGCCTAGCTTCTTCAGGTCTTCTAGTTTAAATTCTGCTTGGGATTGTGGGGACTGTAAAGCTTCACTTTGCAATTTCAAGCATATTGCAGTTTTGCCTATGGTTTTCTTTTCTTGTTCTGTGAATTCAGAATTATTGTGTTGAGCTTGGGCCTCTTTTTATAGATGGTTTGCTAACATTCAATACTTGTCTATCATCTCCACCAGCTGGCCCAAAGAGTCAAAGTCATCACCTCTCCTAAAACTGGTGCCTCAGCACTGCAGCAGACTCTGAGTCACCTCCAACATGGCCAGTCCCCACCCAGTCTCCTCCCAACACTAACCCAGCAAGCCTGGGCTCTAGAGTGCCATCCTCCCTTGGCCTGGCCCCAACATTAACAGGATCAGAAGCAACCACTAAGGCCACCACTGCCACCAGCCATGGATGCCACCTCTCATTCTTTGTGGGGCTGCTGTGAAGACTGAAGGAGACGCTACAACAGATAAAGCACACAGCTGAGAGCCCGATACATATCAAACACTTTAAAAAGGTTAACTATTATTATTTTTTCCATTATCAACTTCTATCTATAATTATGTCACCTGTGGCAACAATAATGCAGGTAAAGAGGAGTATTTGTTAGGATCCGAATTTTGCAGCTATTTCTTGATCACAGTTCAACATCTGGCAGACAACGACAAATGAAAATACTGGAAGCAACTTCCGATGCTGCCCACCCTGTGGGCTGTTATCGGAGTGTGTCTTAGTCCAGCCATTGTAAATCTCAATGATTGGTGAGGAGACAGTAAGGGGGGCCGGGGGTGGGGGAGAGATGCTTAGATATTACCAAGGCAAAGCTCAATAACACCAGGATGGCGAAGTTTAGGTTCAGAGCCACTGGGCACCTAGGAAAACCATAAGAAATTACCATTAGGGTCAGGGCAGCAGTGGTGATGCCTCCACATAGAGGACTGATAGGGCACATTGCTTATATACTGACTAATCCAATTATTAATTCCATACATACTTGTTAAATGTTTCCTTTCTGCTAGAAGCCATCCCAGGTCCTAGAGATACTGCATTGAGCAAGAAAAAAACAAGACCCCTCTACCCCTGCATCTTACTGTCTTGGGGGAAAGCAGATAATAAACAAGAAAGGAAATAATCAAACCAAAAAGCATCAGATGGTGATTACTCTTATGAAGAAAACAAAAGAGAAAATATGATATGTAGTGAGTAGCAGAGCAGGGGCACAGTAGGCTAACTGCCAGTGGGTTGTGAGAAGCTGGCAATTGAGCTGGAAACCAGAGCCCAGAAAATCAAGATTACTTACTAATGGTTATACAGTCTCATTCCCACAGCTCCTAAGTCACTTCTCTCCAATCATCAGGACTAGAAGTGAGGGACACAAATGAGGAAAGAATGGAATTAATCTTTTAATATAGGTTGGCATCATCAGACAAAACCCAGATGGAAAGGAGATACAGGAATGAGCACAGGATGGGTGGAAAGTGGTCTGGAAAGACCGCAGGAAAGTTGTAAATAACTGGAAAGATAAGAAGACTGTTAGGAAAAATCATCTGTAGTTATAAGAACTTTCTGATGGAGTTCCTTTTAGGCTACCCAAATGTCAGTCATGCAAATTCATGACTATGCTAAATCTAAGTTGGTCCCCAATGGCACCACTTGCTGGTATTCATGCCCTGTATTCATCTCCCCTTGAGTGTGGGCAGGCCCTGTGACTTGTTTCTAATCAATAGATGAGTGGTGAGCTGTCACTGCCACTAACTACATTGCAAGAATGGTAGACACTCTCCTCACCGGCTTTGGTGAAGCAAGAGACCTGAAACAGCCTCCAGCTAACAACCAGCTAGAAACTGAGGCCCAAGGTCCAATAGGTTGCAAGGAACCAAATTCTGCCAACAACATCATGAGTTCATAAGGGGATCCTTCCCTGGCTGAACCTTGAGATAAGACCACAACCCCAACCAAGACATTGAATTCAGCCTTTTGAGATATCCTAAACAATCAGGCAGGCTGTGCCTGGATCCACAATGATCACAGACACTGTGAGGTAATAAATATATGTTATGTTAAGCCACCAAGTTTGTGATAATATATTATGCAGCAATAAAAAACTAATACAATGACATTAATGAAAGTAGACAGGACTGCTAAACTGTTTAGAGAACAAAGAACATCACTTGGGAACAAAGAATTCAGTACAATCAGCCCCTCAGTGTTCCACAAAACACTTAACACCTTTTATGTGACAGGTAAGACCTGAGCACAGGAAAACCGAGTTAAGACTTGTCCTCTGTGCTGAAGGAACTTGGCCAAAAAGAGGCAGAGAAACTGAGATGAAAGGGAGGAACACCAATGGTGATATACAGGAAGTGGTCTGGATTAATTTAGGAGATGTAGAGTCATGGCTACAGCTGGATTTTATTTTACTTCTTAAAAAATTAAACAAGCTTGATTATAATAAAAGAATACATACAGAATGACTTTTTTTAAAGATTTTTTTTTTTAATTGGGGAATTGGGGGGATGGGAACAGTGCTGGGGAATTGGGGAAAGGGGAACAGACAAGTTGCTGTCGTTTTGTTCTTCAGTCTAGTTGTGGAGGATGTTGCTTCACTGGCCCAAGTTGGCACCATCATTGTGCTCCTCTCTGGCGAGGCAGATCAGTCGCCGGCTTCTGGACGGCCGCTCACTGCGGCTGCTGGCCGCTCACGCTGGCTGCTGGCCACACACGGTAGCCCATGGCAATCCACTGCCACATGGACTGCAGCCCACGCCGTCGCCGGCGACTCATGGCAGCCCAGCTCCAGGTCGAGCTGTTGTTCAGCATCTTAGCTGTGGAGGGCAGTGTCACTGGCCCTCATATGTGGGATCCGAACCGGGGCCCTCTGGCATCCCAAGCGAGTTCTTAACCATCGCGCCACTCGGCCGGCCCCAGAATGACTTTTTTTAAACCAAAGTAATACAAAAGGGTATTTAAAAAAGGAAAATTCTGCCTCCTCTCCTCTCAGATCCCCAGTTCCATACTTAAAAATGGACCAGTCATTATAATTTCTTTTTTTTTTAAGATTTTATTGGGGAATTCGGGAAGGGAAACAGTACTGGGGAATTGGGGAAGGTGAACAGCCAAGTTGTTGTCCTTCAGTCTTAGTTGTGAAGGGCACAGCTAGCTCAGCTCCAAGTCCACTCACCATCTGGCCACCCACTGGCAGCTCGCGGCCACTCAGCTCAAGGTGCGATGTTCAATCTTAGTTAAGGGTGGGCGTAGCCCGCCATCCCATGTGGGAGTTAAACCAGCAGGAATGTTGCTAAGAGCGCATGCTCTAACCACTGAGCCATATGCGGCCACCCATCAGCAGCTCAGGGCAGCTCAGCTCAGGTGCAGCTCACTAGCCTATGTGGGAATTGAACCAGTGACTCTGTTGCTCAGAGCTGGTGTTCTTAACCAACTGAGTCACTCGGCTGGCCCCGGAGGCAAAATCTTAACAGGCTAAGAAAAGTGCTTCTGAAAATGACTGTTTACACTTTCCTTTATCCACTTGGAATTAAGAGTGAAGTGAAGAAGATTACACAGATGTGGGAGGAAGTGAGGCGAAGATTGGGTTACAAAACAGTTAACAACATTATGTGCTCCCTTGAGGAGGGTAAAGCTTTAGAAGGAGGGGTCAAAAAGTCGCATTTCAAAGGCCTGTTAACCTAGATGCACAGAAACAATGGACAGGGCTTGTTTAAGGCAAAAGGGATAAACCTTTCACTGAAGAAATTACATGCCTGGGGCATGACTACCCATAGTGACCTGCAGCAGTTAGGAATTTACGGTCAGATCACCCTGTGAAGTTACTTTCTGTCGCTGGACTTGGCAGTTTTATTATAAAAACTCTTCTTCATCCACAGCTAAAATGAGAAAAGTCCTGGGAAAACTGGGACAATCGGTCACCCTACTTAGAGGTGGCAAATCCTAAGGCTAAAAAGACCCCCACAGATGACTGCACCAACCTCCTCACTGAACCAGTGGGAGAACTAGTGTGCAGGCCAGAAAACAGTGTCCTCCAAGGCTGCACACAGCCTGGGACCAGATCTCCTGGCTCCTAATTCAATGCTTTCAGAGAGCTCCTGCCAGAGGGGAATGCTGGGTAATCTCGCTGTAAAGCCACGATATAGGATCCTGGTGTCTGGTGCCTGAAGATCGTGGTCTCAAGTACCCAAAGAATGGGAATGCAGACTCGGAAGGAGAGGTAGAGGAGCAAAGATTTTTAATGAAGCGAAAGTACAGCTCTCTTATGAGAGGGGGTTCCTGAAACTGGGATGCCCCTATAATTTCTTATCTGTCCTTTAAGAAATTGTCTGCAAGGGGGCCAGATGGACTCATGTCTTGTAGGGGAGACCACTTCATAGTCAGTGTAGAGGCCTGACCACCACACTGTATATCTGAAGCTGATGTTGAATAATAATGTATGTCAACTATAATTATATATACATATAGTCATGGCACATGGAGTAGAGAGTGGGAATGGAATCAATGGAATGTAATAGATAAGCATGATATCAGGGGTGGGAGGGCAGTAGATGGGAGGAGGGGGGTTGTTATTTTGTGAGGGGTGAAAAGGATAACTATTGCATTGTTCTGTACACCTGAAACTAACAATAAAATTTTAAAAAAAAGAAATTGTCTGCAAGTGTACAATGCACATGTACATTTTTTTGTACAAATTGGATTAAATTATACATACTGTTCAGTCTCTTGCTTATTTTGAAGCCTACATCTTGGCGACCTCTTAATGCCTGCATATTCCAATTACCTTGTCCTTTTACATGGTTGCATAATATTCCTTTGTATAAATATACCTTAGTTTATGTAAGGAGTCCCCTGTTGATTAGCATAGAGGTTGCTTCCGTGTTTTTGCTATCACAATAAATGCAATATGTAAATCTTTTCTCACTTCTATAACTGTAGGATGAATAACTAGAAGTAAAGCTGTGGGATAGAATGTGCTGCCAACCTATGCTTAGAGGTTACACCCATTTTATTCTCATACTCTATCTAAATAGCCATATTTTAGCCATACTTTGTTCAATGCTACATATGAAGAAATTTTAAAATCTTTGTCAATTTAATAGATAAAAATGGTATCTAATTTTCTTTGTATTGCATACACCTGAATTTTTAAAACTTCTTGCAGGTTGAATCTACTTAAAGAATAAAGGGTCATGGATGGAGGTTAGACATTAGGAATGAAACCCTTAGGGATGGAAAAAAAAAGAGTTGTTGTCATGTAAAAACACTT